AACTGGGGACATCATAAAGCCATTCAGTTGACGTTGGGACTCTCATGGGAAAAATATATACATCAGCCTTCTCCATCTGGCGCCATCTTGGTAGACCATGACTACAGATACCAGATTCATTCCTTTGGGCTGGGAATCATGGGAGCTTAGTTCTAACACCTCTAAGTAGACTGGGAAAATGTGACTTTATTTCAAAGTCCTAGGCTTGTTCCATTATCCATATGGATAAAAGGTTAAGATGACAACCATCTTACTCAACCAGCTACCATTTCATTGAAAGGATAAGATGGGTTAGGGGCCAAATTTAACCTTGTTTCTGCCCTAATTTCAAATTTCTGCCCAAACCGCACATTACAATGACGCTGAGTCCATATCTCAGAAAGGATTACCTCAGAACCAAGACACCAAAGCCTTGTTCCAAAACACACTTGCACCTGGGGACCAAATGACTATGGAGAAATACATCATTGACCTCGTAGTTCCCCAATATTTATTGCTATAGACCAGGATTTGTAAGCTATGGTGCCTTCATACAAGATCATAATATTCGCAGACCACCACGAGAAGCTTTGGTGTGGGTAGAACATCTTCCTATCCTCCATGGGGAGCACATAATATAGTGACCCTAGACGGCGTTGGAAGATTCAACACTCAACGTACAGCGAGTGTCTGAATGGGTGGGATTTAGCAAGGAGTCTCTCCCGGTGTTAGAGCCCAGAAGGTCCAAATGGCATCTGTAATTCCAGATGGTTCCACACATTTAGTGCATTAATTTAATCCTGCCATTGTACGTTGCAAAGTAAAAGTAACAGCGCAAGGAAGAACCGCAGTCCTGATGTATCAAAGTTGAATTCCTGGTCTCCAGTCACATGGCTATAAACAATGGTTTTCCCTTGTGGGCAGAACCAGGGAGACGGAGTTAAATGTATCACCAGCTTAGAGTCACTATGTTGCCACAAGCAGTCCCCTCCTGGATTCCATTGACCTTCATCTAGCACCAATTTACCATGAGGTTGCAGCAGAGATGATTTAGTCAAGCTTATACACAAGGACCTAGTCAAGTCAACACCAATTTGGCACCAGTCAACGGAATTCAAGGGGGGTTAGACCATTTGTTGCAGCGTAACGATTCTTAAGCTGATGACATACTTAACTCTGCCCTCCTAGCTCTGCCTGCTCTTCTCTGACAGCCCAGGATTTAGACAGCTAAGGAGATTCTGCTCCAGGAAAGGCCAGTTGTCTAACTGAGTTGTAGATCTTTGCTTCATTTCAGGCCGAGTTAGCGGGTTGCTTCTAAGGCAACTATGTCAGCTAAAACCTGGCCATCCAAGTTACAGAAGAGCTTGGATCAAGTAGTTCTCCCTGGAGATCAGAAGAGGCATCTGACCTTTGCTCGTGGAGATGGTGAACCCCAAGAGTCAAAAGCCACAGGGCTTTGAGGGCTGCCCCAAGTTCACGCCATGGCTTTAACCGAGCCACCAGGTTTGCGGGGAATCTGGGACCCAGTGGGACGAGGTGTCCTCGTTTCCTAACCTACAACCTTGAAGTTTCCTGGGAAGGATCTCATCCAGGCAGGACCAAGAGCTGACCTTTTGAGATCAAGCAAGTTTGGCTAGGTGCTGCTACCACTTGGAAGCTGGTGTTGGGGCGAAGGGACCCAAATAAATCCCTGCTTAGGAGGGTCTTCTGGGCTGGACCCTGGACAACAATGCCACCACGTATCAGGAGATAAAAGCGTGTCCTTAAACAACCTTACCCATTTCCATAGCTTTCTCTAGTTGAAGAGAACCTAAGTGAAGATCTGATCATCCGGAAGGTATTCTAATTCACACTTGATAGAATTTGGTTTCTATCGCACCGTTGGGAGCTACTAAATTCTTATATATGAATATATGAAGCATTTGTTTCCCCGTTATCAAGATGGAAACCTCACACACACACAGTTGCTCTCTATAAAAGCCCTTAAGATTCCATCAGCATCAGGCAATGCCTGAATTTTTAAAAAAAGAGATTAATGATCAGCCTTAAACGTAGCAGAAAGGTTTTACTCATCCGGCAGAGGAAAAGAGGGAAAGGATTAAAAAGAGAAATCCGTTGTAGCTACTCCTGCAGCTAATGGCCTTGGAACCAAGGAAATAAAAAATATAGACCGCCCAGAAAGGCATTAGCTTCCTATTTCAAGGTAAGCTTTACTCTGCAAACTAACACAAAACAATGAATGCATCACATCTCTTTTTTACTATTGACTTATTCGTTTCACATCCGGGTTGCTAGCCCACGTTGGACAGGAGGGATCAAAGAAAGGGTGCCACACCCTTCGCACAAATCAGCCACACTCTCCAACTTTGGCCAGCGTCACCGACCCCCAGGATTGCAAGCCGATCTTGCCGAGGTCTTGAAATTCCTTCCCCTAATCAATTAATCAATCAGAATAGAGCTGGAAGGGACCTTGGAGGTCTTCTAGTCCAACCCCCTGGTTGTTGTTGTTTTTTTTCTCTCTCCAGGTGGCACCGATTCCATATTTGGATCGATCCACCAGGAGTGAGAAATTATCAGGCGCTCTCTGCATTTGGGGAGGGCTAGGCTACGTCTTTCCGAATAAAAAACGGGAAAATTCAGCATTTAAAAGATCCGCTTGGAGAGGGGGAAAAAAAAAAGTTGGGGTTGAATTTTAGCCCTGTTTTCTGGCAAGGTCACCTGTGCTGTCTAATTATATCTCTTTAACTGCTGCTGGAGAATGTGATGAAGATTGGAGTTTAAATGCCAGCCACCAGGGTACCCTCCAAAAAGAATAAATAGAGGGGGAAAAACCACGTTGAAGGCTTTGTCCGTGGGGATTCGCAGTCATCCTTGACCCAAAGCTGCTTTTTCCCCCCCCCAAAAAGCACCTGTTTTTTCCCTGAAGATGTTTTGCTTCTGAGTCAGAACCGAAGAAGCTTCTTGGATGAGAAGCAAAAAGTCTTCAAGGAAAAACAAAGTCCAGTTGTCTTTTGAAAAAACACCTTGGTGGAACGCTTCCTTTCGCGGAGCTGTTAACGTATAGCCAAAGAAATATTTTAGAAAATACTAAATACTACTTCCTTCCTTTTCTCTATTTTCTCCAGAGCTTCAGACGGACGGAGACAATACAGCAATTCATCCCTGCTGGAGACCCCGAGTACAATCCTGGGGAAAAAAAAATCACTGTATCTCCAGAGCATACCAACTTTCTTAGCTGCTCAACTTCCCTCCCCCACATTTAATCAAGCCAAATTATTCCTTTCCCAGCCCTTTCTTCCCGGAGTGAAATCTCGGATTATTTAAATGTACAGTCACCCGCACGGAACGAAGAAAAACTAGGATGACGTCTGCTCAGAAACCGTTTTGGCCCAGATTTTTCCCTGGGACAGAGCAGAAAGAGAGGGTGGAGGCGATCTCTGGGCGTTGAAAGATTCAATGCTACAGAATACTGAGGGTTTTTTTTTTCTGCCACCTCCACCCTCGGAAATCAAACTGCTACAGTAGGCGTTCGCCAACTCAACACGACAGCCCATCGTCCCCAACTCAACACAACAGCCCATCGTCCCCAAAACGAACCAGCCCAGAGAGTGAGCTGCAGTGAGCGACTCTTTTAAACATGGCTATTGGTTTCTAATCTGCAAACTATTGATATTTATATCTATTTATATATCTATATATATATATATAAACCGGCCGAGGTCCACCTCAGCCCTATCGGCGGATAACCGATGGCAAAAACTCCGCTTTTGCCAAACTATATTAAGGAAGCAGCTCCTTAAATTGAAAAAAAATATATAATATAAAATAAAAGAAGATTGAGGTCTGTCCTGGAGGGAGGTGCTACAGTTGAAGTGTCCCTCAAACGGTTTTGCTGGAATCCAAGTCAAATGTCTGCAGCCAGATGCAGAAAACCTGAACGGCCCTTTATCTCTTAGCTACCCACCGGTATAAATATATAGATGTGGAGAGACAGATATATAAAGATATATTACGATGTCAACTATATTCTCAAGCAGACTCCAAAATATCTCATCTACCAGATATTCGGTGTGCGTGGTACGGCAACAGCTGGTTAAATATTCCCTCTGCTTGTAAAAAGAAAGAAGGAAGGAAAGAAAGAAAATTGCACTTCTGGAGATGGGTATGGATGCGTGTGTGTGAGAGAGAGAATTCACACCTGTTCTTAAAATGGATGAGATTTCTTTTCTTTTTTTTTAATGGTCTGGCTTTCTTCAAACGCCTCAATGGTTTGATGGGTCATCTCCAAGAGTGAACCAAGATGGTTCTTGACCTTCCATGACAGCGAAGTAGAGATAGACAAGATGATGGGTCATCTCCAAGAGTGAACCAAGGTGGTTCTTGACCTTCCATGACAGCGAAGTAGAGATATACAAGATGATGGGTCATCTCCAAGAGTGAACCAAGGTGGTTCTTGACCTTCCATGACAGCGAAGTAGAGATAGACAAGATGATGGGTCATCTCCAAGAGTGAACCAAGGTGGTTCTTGACCTTCCATGACAGCGAAGTAGAGATAGACAAGATGATGAGTCATCTCCAAGAGTGAACCATGGTGGTTCTTGACCTTCCATGACAGTGAAGTAGAGATAGACAATATGATGGGTCATCTCCAAGAGTGAACCATGGTGGTTCTTGACCTTCCATGACAGCGAAGTAGAGATAGGCAAGATGATGAGTTGAGAGTCTCTGTAGGAAACCTGAGCTTCAAATGTCTTCTGAGAAGAACCTGTCATGGCATGGGGCCTCTTGTGACCTAAGCGACCCCGGTCCTTGAAGACCTACCCCCTTTCCTCCCTCGGCAGTACTCCGTCCATCTTGTGCCTCAAGCGGCCGAGCGGACCTCTTGAACGTCGAGGCCCCAACGGCTTCTCCGGCGCCTCTCGCGGCCTCCTGGCGGCCGTGCAAAAAAAGGTCTCCTGCTCTGCGACGCCCGCCTGCTCGGGACACCCGTGAAATTCCTCCTGGCCCGTCCCAGCGGCGCTCATAAAATGTCATCGTAATCGAGCAGCTTGGAATGCTGGCGGGTCTTCCAGACTCGGTAGAGACGGAAGTCAAAATAAGTCTCGATCATTTCCTTTCCTGCAAGGGGAAGAAGGGAGGGAAAGTCAGGTCAGACGCCTGGAATATCCAGACCTAGAACCTCGTTAGAAGGAGATGCCAGGATTGTCTTCCTGGGATGGATGGGCCACTTGAATGTCTATCTGTTATCTATCTATCTATCTATCTATCTATCTATCTATCTATCTATCTATCTATCTATCATCTATCTATCTATCTATCTATCTATCTATCTATCCATCCATCCATCTATCCATCCATCGTCCCATCCATCTATTCATCTATCTATCTATCTATCTATCTATCTATCTATCTATCTATCTATCTATCTATCTATCTATCTATCTATCATCTATCTATCTATCTATCTATCTATCTATCTATCTATCTATCTATCTATCCATCCATCTATCTATCCATCCATCGTCCCATCCATCTATTCATCTATCTATCTATCTATCTATCTATCTATCTATCTATCTATCTATCTATCTATCTATCTATCTATCTATCTATCTATCTATCTATCTATCTATCNACCTGAACGGCCCTTTATCTCTTAGCTACCCACCGGTATAAATATATAGATGTGGAGAGACAGATATATAAAGATATATTACGATGTCAACTATATTCTCAAGCAGACTCCAAAATATCTCATCTACCAGATATTCGGTGTGCGTGGTACGGCAACAGCTGGTTAAATATTCCCTCTGCTTGTAAAAAGAAAGAAGGAAAGAAAGAAAATTGCACTTCTGGAGATGGGTATGGATGCGTGTGTGTGAGAGAGAGAATTCACACCTGTTCTTAAAATGGATGAGATTTCTTTTCTTTTCTCTTTTTTAAGGTCTGGCTTTCTTCAAACGCCTCAATGGTTTGATGGGTCATCTCCAAGAGTGAACCAAGGTGGTTCTTGACCTTCCATGACAGCGAAGTAGAGATAGACAAGATGATGGGTCATCTCCAAGAGTGAACCAAGGTGGTTCTTGACCTTCCATGACAGCGAAGTAGAGATAGACAAGATGATGGGTCATCTCCAAGAGTGAACCAAGGTGGTTATTGACCTTCCATGACAGCGAAGTAGAGATAGACAAGATGATGGGTCATCTCCAAGAGTGAACCATGGTGGTTCTTGACCTTCCATGACAGCGAAGTAGAGATAGGCAAGATGATGAGTTGAGAGTCTCTGTAGGAAACCTGAGCTTCAAATGTCTTCTGAGAAGAACCTGTCATGGCGTGGGGCCTCTTGTGACCTAAGCGACCCCGGTCCTTGAAGACCTACCCCCTTTCCTCCCTCGGCAGTGCTCCGTCCATCTTGTGCCTCAAGCGGCCGAGCGGACCTCTTGAACGTCGAGGCCCCAACGGCTTCTCCGGCGCCTCTCGCGGCCTCCTGGCGGCCGTGCAAAAAAAGGTCTCCTGCTCTGCGATGCCCGCCTGCTCGGGACACCCGTGAAATTCCTCCTGGCCTGTCCCGGCGGCGCTCATAAAATGTCATCGTAATCGAGCAGCTTGGAATGCTGGCGGGTCTTCCAGAATCGGTAGAGACGGAAGTCAAAATAAGTCTCGATCATTTCCTTTCCTGCAAGGGAAAGAAGGGAGGGAAAGTCAGGTCATCCATCCATCCATCCATCCATCCATCCATCCATCCATCCATCTATCTATCTATCTATCTATCTATCTATCTATCTATCTATCTATCTATCTATCTATCTATCTATCTATCTCTATCCATCCATCCATCCATCCATCCATCATTCCATCTATTCTATTCTATCTATCTATCTATCTATCTATCTATCTATCAACTATCCATCCATCCATCCATCCATCCATCCAACCAACCAACCAACCAACCAACCAACCAAACATCCATCCATCCATCCATCCATCCATCCATCCATCCATCCATCCAACCATCCAATCATCCATCCATCCATCTATCTATCTATCTATCTATCTATCTATCTATCTATCTATATCCATCCATCCATCCATCATATCTATCCATCCATCTATCAATTTCTCTCCCTCTCTCTCCCTCCCTCCCTCTCTCTGTCTCCTTGTACCAATCAACAGTGGTATATTTTCACAGGTGGAGGAAAGGCAGATTAGTCGTCTCATTTACCTTGAGCTGAAAGTTCAAGAGGAGATTCGAAGGTCACTCGGCAAGGACTCATCAGATTCTTTAAATTTTGGAATAGCTGGAAAGCAAAGAAGTCCAAGGTGATTTGCGAGGCCTCCTGAGATATGGGACAAATGATTGGTTCCCTTTCCCACATCCTCTCGAAGACTACAGGGCTTGGCAGTTAATTCCGACATAAATTATTGGGGCAACTTAATCATAAACTCCATGGTCCCTTCCAACTCTGTTAACACAGCCATAAAAGAGGTTTTCAGAAAGAGGAGGCCAGGTTCTCGTCTACCTGCTCACAAACTACCACAGGACGTACCTTCTCCCCATTGTGGTTCCCCAAGACGTAACATCCCATGATGTGGATGACATTTGGAACCGGGTTCAGCTTGCTCATCAGATGGCTCAACCGCTTCCAGAAGCTGCAGAACAAGATGGAAGAAGGTTCGAGTAGATGGAGGCATTTCCCAAAGATTCCCAACTGCAAAGCACGCCCAGCAAATTCCTCACGAGGTCATCACTCACTAGATCATGTCTTCCTCCTTCTCCACTTTGGCAAAGGTGGCGACTTTATTCTTCAAGAGGTATAAATGGCCCGGACCTCCCTACAAGAAATAAAGAGAGAAAGTCTTCCAGAATCAGCCTGGAGGACATCAACGTTCTTCTCAAATGGCCAAGGCAAAGAGAAGACCTCCCGGAACACCTAGAGAGACATTGGTCTGGGATAGGACAAGCCATAGATGCCATCCCAACCATGACAGGGAAAGCCAGCCCGTGACTAGGAGAAGAGGAACATTGGGAGAACAAGAAGATGGCCAACCTTAAACGGGAGAAAATATCCAGGTTCTGCCAAGCCCCTTTGAGCAAGTGGGGACGAAACTTTGAAACTCTTTCTTCGTAGAATTCAGAGGGGGAATAAGACTTTAAGCTTTGCGGGGGCTTTTCACCTCTTTTACCTCCCCCCATTTCTTCCCTGAAGCCCACATTTGCCATTGAGAGGAGGGATTCTAAAGGAGAAAGTGTTAATTGTTGGTAAACTGCCCAGAGTCCCTGAGATTGAGTGGGCGGTCGTATAAACCAGGGGTCCCCAAAACCCGGTCCGTGGACTGGGACCAGGCCATGGCATGCCAGCAACCGGTCCGCACAAACAAGCAAAGCCCCATTTGTGTGATGCAGGCAACACACAAAACCATGCACTCTCCGGTCCGCAGAAAAATCTCTCTCCACGGAACCGGTCCCTGGTGCCCAAAAGGTTGGGGACCTCTGATATAAATCTTCGAAAGAAAGAAAGAAAGAAAGAAAGAAAGAAAGAAAGAAAGAAAGAAAGAAAGAAAGAAAGAAAGAAAGAAAGAAAGAAAGAAAAGGCCACTCCCAAATGCCAAAAATAAAGGGGGGGAGAGGGAAACACCCCACAACTCCTGTGACTTTCTTTTTCTTCTTTTTCTTTTACAAAGCTGGGATTCGGGGCTGGCGGTTGCCAAGGAGATGACGCACATCTGGGGAGCTGGGTGCAATGCAACTGCTTTGGGAGGAGACCCCTTTATGAGCACTCTCTGTCCCTGTCAATCTCCCAGGGAAGGTGGGTTTCCCCCCCCCCCCAAGTCAGCAGTTGCAGCCCAGGCTTTGGAGGGACTGGCGTTCCGGCACCCACTCACTCACCTGGCAAAAAATCAACATTTTCCAAATTTTGCAGCCCTTCCGGTAGATGTTGAGTTTTTTTTCGATTTCCTCTGCGGACAGATGAGGGAGAAGGAAGGATGAAGCGAGGAGGAGGAGAGGATGCTTCGGGGGCAAAGATGCCCCAAGAGGGATACAGATAATCCTCGACTTACGACAGTTCTTTGAGTGACCGTTTGAAGGCTCAACGGTTCTTTGAGTGACCGTTTGAAGGCTCAACGGCCCTGAAAAAAAGCGACCGTTTTTCACGCCTACGACCACGGTCACGTGATCAATATTCAGAAGCTTGGCAACTGGCATGTACTTGTGACGGTTGCAGCGTCCCATGATTCCTCCCCTTTTGCGACTTTCTGACAAGCAAAGTCAACGGAGAAGCCGGATCTATTTTACTGTTATTAATTTAACTGCAGTGGTTCACTGAACAAGAAGAAAAGGGAGCCAAACTCACTTAGCCAGCGTCTCTTCTTAGCAACAGAAATTTTGGGTCTCAGTTGTGTTCATAAGTCGAGGAATGCCTGTATTTTGTTAAGTCTGGAAGATCAGGAGAAAGGCTGTGGAAGACGGGTCTCCAATTCTGGCCAGCCCCACCATGAGGATGAGTGAATTTGTTACCATTATTTTGACACCCAGGAGCAGGGGGAAAAAAGCCCTGTGGGATTTCTCTCTCTCTCAAGCCATGTTTCTCAACCTTGGCAACTTTTAAGGTGTCCAGACTTCAACTCCATCAGTTATGGGAGAAATTGGAAAGTCGAGGTATCCCCCATCGATCCACTTTCTCCACCAGGCATCTCCTGGCTACTAGAGGTTTGCTCGTCTTAGGGGAGGTTGAGTGAGGTTACTAAAGGTCTGCTCACCTTGCTCCTCCAGGACACCTGAGGTGTGCTCACCTGGGAGGAGGTTGAAGCAAACCCTTTGAGGGAGGGAAAATGAAAGAGGGATTGAGATTCCCTCAACTTTAAGTACACGAGGGCACCTCTTTTTCTGCTGGAGTGAATATTGGACTTCCTACATCCTGAAGGATCGGCTAGGATCTTTTCCACGTATCTAGATTTCTGCTCTATAAACACTGACCAGCAGGATCTTTGGCTAAGCTACCAGACACACAAATAACACAACATTCACACCATAACTTCATGTGATTTGTGACCCAAAGCTGACATACCCAGAATGTCATCGAAGGTGGCGTGTTCATGATCCTGAAAAAAAAAACAAAAAAACAAAGAGGCAAGGATTAAAAAGCCACAGCTGTGGTGGTCAAGGGGGACCAACTGGGAGGAGGCAATGGGGCAGAGATACAGGTGAAGGTCTATCGTTAGAGGGGAGAGAGAAGATCTGAAAAGGTAGGAAGGCAGAAATGATAGAAAAGAGATTAGGAGAAAAATAGAGAGAAGGTGTGTGTGTGTGTGTGTGTGTGTGTGTGTGTGTGTGTGTGTGTGTGAGAGAGAGAGAGAGAGAGAGAGAGAGAGAGAGAGAGAGAGAGAGAGAGAGAGAGAGAGAGAGAGATGAAGCAGGAGAGATAGCTAAGTAGGAAGTTGGATGAAGAGATAGATAGATAGATAGATTAGATAGATAGATAGATAGATAGATAGATAGATAGATAGATAGATAGATAGATAGATAGATAGATAGATAGATAGATGATAGATAGATAGATAGATAGATAGATAGATAGATAGATAGATAGATAGATAGGGATTTGTAGACAGATGGACAGACAGAGATGAAGATAGATGATAGATTGATAGATTGATTGATTGATTGATTGATTGATTGATTGATTGATTGATTGAGAGAGGGATTTGTAGACTGATGGACAGACAGAGACAGAGAGATGAAATGAGATTAGATGATAGCTAGATAGTCTGTGAGAGAGAGAATTGGATGGATGGATGGACAGAAGGTAGGGGATGAAAGGAAGAGTGGGTGATAGAGAGATAGAGAGAGGAAGGGAGGGATGGACAGAAACGGGAAATGGAAGGATGGATGGATAGATAAATGGAGAGAGATGAGAGAGGGAGATGTGTGGATGGACAGAGGGACAGGAGGTGGGGGATAAGAGGGTGGGTGGATAAGGAGGAGGAGGAGGAGGAGGAGGAGGTGGTGGTGGTGAGGCAGACAGACAGGACATTCCCCCACAGCTCCAATCCAAGACTTACATAGAGAATGGGGATGATCGATGGGTCATCACGGCGGATAATTGTTGGAACATACTCGGCTTTGGGCACCTTGGAGGAAATGAGCTGGAACGAGAGAGAAAGCAAGAGGAGAAGAGGAAGAAGAAGAGCAAAGAGAGAATTGTAACTGGCAGGAGTCACAAACTGGGGGACAGGACGAGCAAGAGGCAGACAGGACAGCTTTTCCCACCCCGGAGGGTCCCCGAGTGCTCCTCAAGAACTGCTCACCATGATTTTGGGGGGAACGAAGTCCTCCCCACTGCAGGCGGCCGCTTCCACTTCTTTCTCCACCTCCCAGTTCAAGTCGACCCCTTTGTCAATGGCACAGCAGGAATCCTGAAATTCATGGCCTGGGGGTGGGGGCGAAAGAAGACAAGAGCGTTGAGGTCCATCTCTGCAGAGGCAGAAGCCCCCCTGTGCCACCGAGGAGGATGGAGCCCACACGGACAGGGTCCTCCTTTGAGGAGAGGTCCAAGATGAAGCATAAGCAGATCCTGCCATCACACATCCAAACTCCACCCCCCCTACATTGCACAACCTGTCTGAATCCTTCATGCAAGACGCTTGAGTAGCTACAGGCTGGGAACAAGAGTGGAGTGGAGGGATCTGGAGCACCCCAGCTATTGTGCAACCGCAACTAAACCCAGCCGGCGAGGAGGAGATTGGAAGATTTGCAAGGGCTACACAATTCATCTACAAGGTCAAGGCGACCTTTGCTGTCTCTCTGCCCTCCCGGCTGAAACGTGCTTCGATTGGAACGTAGATGCCCTCTCCCCCCCCCCGCCCCCTGGCCCATTTCCAGTTGGGTTGGGTGCTCAAGAAAAAAAGGGGACGTACTTTCTCGGGAATCGTTGAGGTTTTCAGGCTTAATGGGAGTGGGATCGCTCCAGGACCGGCTGAAACTTCTCTGCCGCTCGGCAAAAGCTGGAAGGAAAAGAGGAGGAGGAGGAGGAGATAGACAATGAGGAAAAGAGAAGGAGAAGGAGAAAGAGAAGGAGATAGACAATGAGGAGAAGGAGAAGATAAGGAAAAGGAGAAGGAGATAGACAAGGAGGAGATAAACAAGGAGAAGGAGGAAGAGGAGAAAAAGGAGGAGGAGGAGGAGGAGGAGGAGAAGATAGATAAGGAAGACAAGAAGGAGAAGGAGATAGATGAGGAGATAGACGAGAAGGAGAAGGTGAAAGAGAAGAAGATAGACAATGAGGAGAAGGAGGAGAAGGAGAAGATAGATAAGGAAGACAAGAAGGAGAAGGAGAAGGAGATAGACAAGGAGGAGATAGACAAGGAGAAGGAGGAAGAGGAGAAAAAAAGATAGACAATGACAAGAAGGAGGAGGAGAAGAAGAAGATAGATAAGGAAGACAAGAAGGAGAAGGAGAAGGAGATAGACAAGGAGGAGATAGACAAGGAGAAGGAGAAGGAGGAAGAGGAGAAAAAAGATAGACAATGAGAAGGAGGAGGAGAAGAAGAAGATAGATAAGGAAGACAAGAAGAAGAAGGAGATAGACAAGGAGGAGAAAGGCAAGGAGGAGATAGACAAGGAGAGATTTTTGGGAAGAACAAGGAGATGGCAAATAATTCTGACAAAATATTGCTAAAATCACACCCATCCCTGGCTCACCCTCTTGGCTGTAAGCACAAAAGCGTTGCCTTTTTTTCCCAAGAAAAATAAGGGGGCTATCTAAGGTTCCTTTCCCCAACCAGGATCATGCCTGATGTTTTGCACAAACACTCCCATCTTGGGGTGGGGGGCTTTAAGAGAGCTCGTCTGAAACCACTGGGGAGTGGGGTCAGGAGGTCCAACCCTGGTTGGGGAAGGGAGATCTCGGGAGAACGTGGCATGGCGTCGTCCCTCCCAGTCGTCCTGCTCACTTACTTTGCGCCTTCATCCGCCGGCTGCCTACCATACGGAGGTGTTTCCGGAAGTTTCTGAAAGGAGAAAAAAAAAAGGGAAGGCCATCAGTCTTGAGGAAGCAAAGAGAAAGAAAGAAATTTCTCTAGGGCCATCTGTCAACTTCCCGGAGCTGCAGATAAAAAGAAATCAGGGGGAAAAAAAGCCCGTTGGAGGAGACCTTCACCTTTATTTACTTCCAAAGCCCCCTTAGATACCTCCTCAGCTACCTCAGAAAAACCAGCGCGGAGAATGTTCACCAGAACGTTCGCCCATAACACAATTTCAACACACCTTGAAGGAATTTGGAGCAAGAGTAGGTAGAAAAACACACCGAAAAATATACAAAACTTGGCTAGGAGAGCAAGAACGCGCAAGTCAAGCCAGCGCAAGGAACATTCTCAGGTTTAGCTAGCTTATAGACAACGTCAACGATCTGTAGGAAGCAGAACCTGATTTTTTTTGTGTTGAAAGACCCTCCATCTTACTCTTTAACCCTCTTGCTGAAAGGACCCCGTTTTTGGATTCCACCTTTCAACCAGCTGGTGGGTCACAGAATGCTAATGTTATTCCTACCAGGTACCACCAGGGGGCGCCAGTTCTCCATCTCTGGTTAGACTCTGGTTTAGAACAGGCCGCTTGGATTCAGTCAAGCTTTACTTTAAATCGTTCAGGGGGTTGTTGTACAAGTTGTACAACTCTGAGATGAAGGTGATTATGGATGCTTTCCACCCAACCTGAGCTGGCAGGGAGGCGTTCTTCAACTTCCCAGGACTGGGCTGAGAGAGAACGAAAAGGTCCTAAGTTATCTCGCTGGCTTCCACGCCGAATGGAAAAACTAGAAGTGGAGTTTTTAGACTCCTTGTCCAAGCATCTTAACCACTACCCCATACTGTCTGTTGGGCTGAGAGGGAGGGACTAGCCCAAAGAAGTCCCCCACAGAGCTTCTGGGGATGGATTAGGACTTTGCTCACCCCATTCTTGATCCAGCAGGAGACTGGACTAGAAGACCTCCGAGGTCCCTTCCAGACCTGTCATTCCATAACTGTAAGATATTCTACTTTCATCCAACTTTCCCACTTAGTTTTGCTGGTGTGACTGGAACGCCGTTCGGTTTTTCTCCTCCAACCCAACATACCTTTTCGGTTTTGCAAGTTTACAACAGCAGATTTCCTGAATGTGCGTATTTCGACAAGACATTCCAAAGAACGGTGAATATAATACTGTGCACCATACCAGAATTCACAGCCGGTGAAAATACAGCTTCAGCCATCTCTCAAAACTTGCTTCAGGCTGCTTGCAAAAGCCCAATCAGCTTTTTTAAAAGCGTCGTGACCCACAATTTGAAAAACCCTCGCTTCCAACCCTTGAAATTTAATTTAATTTTATTTAACATGGATTATATACGGCGGGAAGAGGGATATCCTGAGTCCCGCCGAATGTCGTATAATTTTGTGTATTTTGTAGTAGGGGGGTATTTTGGACAATTTTTGGTTTATAAAAAAGCGACATATTAATTAATTTTAAATTTAATTTTAATAGGGATAAATTTTTAAGAGGGATCCGGTCTGGGCGAACAACAAAAAGCCATGTCTTGAGGACGCGGCGAAAAGGTAGGAGGTCCGGAATCGTCCGGATCTCGGGGGGTAGTTCGTTCCAGAGGGTGGGGGCACCCACAGAGAAGGCCCTCCCCCTGGGGGTCGCCAGGTGTTTGGGTTTTTTTTCCCCCTCCCCGGGCCAAAGGCATTTCTAATTTTCTTACGGCAAACTTGATTCTCGCGTGCATGACAGCTTGTCAACGAGGTGCTACGGATGATTTTAGGAGCCGGCGAAGATCGATAGAACTCAAGGTGCAAAATCCCAAAAAGAGAAATGAAAGAAAAGCGTTTCAGCGTCTAAAGGGCTCACATCGAAACCCGCGCTGCCTAATTTGTACCAAAGTCTGCAATTTAGCAAAAAAAAAAAAGAGTTGCATTTCGACTCCTGGCTAAAATCTGATGAGAAAATTGAAGAAGAGATCAATAAGAAAGGAATATTAGTTCTGTTTGCTGAAAGCAACCGGTGAGATTTTACCAGTCTTGTTTTTCCAGGACTTACGGGTACCTAGTCCTCAACGTACGGACCAGAACTTCTGTTGCTGAGGATGTCAGCTGTTAAGTGGATCACAACCAATTTTAGGACGTATTTTTTTTGCCAGCGTTGTTAAGCACATCACTGCAGTTGTTGGGGCTCGTGTGGCTGTTAAATGGATCTGGAATTAACCTGGAATTAAGGAGAAACTTCCTAACAGCGAGGACAATTAACCAGTGGAAGAGCTTGCCACCAGAAGTTGTGGGTGCTCCGTCACTGGAGGTTTTAAAGAAGAGATTGGGCAGCCACTTGTCTGAAATGGGGTAGGGTTTTCCTGCTGGAGCAGGGGGCTGGACTAGAAGACCTCCAAGGTCCCTTCCAACTCTGTTATTCCACAAATACCCAATTAATCTGAATTAGGAGCCACTCGTTCAATTGCTAATCTGGGATCAGGAACAACCATGAACAAAATTATGCCATAACTGAAAGAGACAAATTAATAGCCGAGAACTTTGTGGACTTTCTCCGCATCCATCCTACCAAGATTAAAACGACAGAGTTTTCCTGCCTTGTTCACCTTATTTTGTAAAAACAGATTCATTCTGAAACCTCTCTCCGGAGTGCCACAAATATTCTGATATTTGGGGGGATACTCTCGAGTGTTTAGGGGGTTATTCTGGCGCTTTACACCTTGCCTCCATCGGAGAATTATTTGACCTTTCCATCAAACACAAAAAAACTCTTGAAGGTGTGATTTTATTTTTTTTAAACCTGACTCAAAAGGACAAGTCGAAGCCTGAAAAAAAATATACATTAACCGCCACAGGCTTTGCTTCCAATCAGATGCGTTCTCTTTTGCGGAGGGGGCTCGGATTGCATCGGAATCCTGCCCTCTTGGGGACTAGCAGCATGAGCAGCTTCTGGAATGCCTTCGAGGAGGAAAGCACAACCGGTCAGTGCCACAAGCTTCTCCGGCAGCCTCAAGCAAGCAGCCTCATCGTCTATCGAAGCAAAAGCCCGAGGGGTTATAGCAAATAAGGTCCCCCCCTCCTCAATATTAGTGTGATGCTCTGGGCTCAGGGGTGCAAAGCCACCTTAGAAAACAGGAGAAGGCAGGCTGGGGGTTAGTCTTTCCTCCAGCTGTGGTTCTTCTTCTTCTCAAACATGCGCGTTGGATTCCCAGCCAGGAGTAAGCAGAGGCAGAGGAGACAAGAGGTGGAATACAGGTAAGTCCTCGGCTTACGGCCACAAACGAGCTCCAAATTCCCCTCGCTCAGTAAAACATTTGCTGAGCGAATTTTGCCCCATTTGACGACAGTTAAGCAAATCACGGCAGGTGTTAAATTAGTCAGCCAGCTGTTGAGGGAATATGGCTTCCCCCCCCCCCCGGGACTTTGCTCGGAAGGAGGTCGCAAAAGGAGGAATCACCTGACACCCCCCCCCGCCCAGGATGCTGCGACCGTCGTAAATATGAGCCGGTCGCCGAGCATCCGAAGTTTGATCACGGGTCCATGGCGATGCTGCAATGATCGTTAAGTGGAGAAAAAGGGTCATTTTTTTCAGCACCGCTGTAGCTCTGAACGGTCACTGAGTGTCGTAAGCCGAGGACTGCCCGTGTAAGGCAGCACTGCGGTGCAGATTCTTGCCAAGGGAGGAAGCAGAGACCGCCAAACTATTTGAGAATGAGGACGTCCCCCTACTCAACCGCTCACTTCCTCTTTGGCCCTGCCAAGCTGCGGGCAGCGATGCCAAGATTCTTCCCGTTCCAACTTGGCTTTCCCTAACCCGGAAACGGTAAGCAGGGGAAAAAGAAACCACACTTGGCAGCCAAAAAGAACAACCGTCGCATCTGGCACGGAGGCCCAGTGGCCTAATCCGAGCCAGAATCGGAACTTTTGCTGCATCTTTGCAGGTGTACCAATAGGATGCTTGCCGCAACGGCTGACGGCTGTCTGTCTGCATTTGTCCCATTTCGGGAAATGAAAATCAAAATTGGCAGAGCTTAAGCCATCACTGGGTTTTCTCGCCTTTAGAGAGCAGGTGTGTGGTGGGATTCTCAGCGTCTCCAGGACAAATCACAAACTCTGGGACTCAGTCTTCCCATCTGCAAAAGGGGGATACAAAACACGCATCTGCTCGGCAGGATTGGGGCTGAGATAACCCACGCATTAAAATGGGGAAAAAGAGGCGCCTTTGGGGGAGAATGGATTTAGGCTCCCCTGAGCCTGGGCGGCACGGCTGATGGTCAAGGAGGATGGGAACTGTAGTCCAACAACTGGCAGGCCAATGCGTCCCCAGCCCAATTCTATTTGAGCCTTCAAGTTAATTACAGGGAGAAAACCTCAATTCAACGGGCCAAAGAGAAGAAAGCATAGTCATTGATTCTGAATCGATACCGCTTATGACAATAATGGGCTGCAAATCATTCAAAGCATCCTTTACGGAGCGATGCCGATTTAGGCACAGAGCTTGTGAGCAGACCCAACTGCGCCCCTTCAAAACGTTTGATCCGAAACTCTGGCCAAGTTTGATTTTGGGAAAAGGTAAGTTCCCGTTACGAATAAGCAAAGCGTTTATTTGCTCAACTGCCTTCTCAGCAAAGCAGCCCAGCAAAGAGGCAAGTGGAGGTCCTGAATTCAGCATTTGGTTCCTTTAATCCAGGAAACAGAAGAAAAAAAGAAAAGAAAGAAAGAAAGAAAAAACAACAAGGGATCTCAGCATCCATTGCAGCCGGCGCATACAACCAGGCAAAAAAAAAGGATTTGAACCCGTGCACCTCCATACCTCTGGATCAAAGCCGCCGAATCGTTCTCCCGTTTTCGACGCTTCCTCTCAGCGTAGCCCCTGAACGCCCTGGAGAACCAGGTTTAAGGCATTAAAACCAAAGCCACGGCAGCTTCAAAAGGGAGCGATGACGTGGAAAAAGGGATGGTGGGGGGCGTGGAGGGCGGGAGGAGGAGATGGACACGGGTTGCAAATCCCGGGATCCGGGAGGAGGAGGAGGAGATGAAAATGAGCCACATCACAAGATGGCAAGGAGACGGGGCAAGGCGGGTGCCGTGGCACCAATTTGTGGGCAAAAAAATCTGGGTGAGGAGACAGCTTCGGGGAGCAAGGAAATCTCTACCTCCATCAGGATGTACAACATTTTGAGTCAACCCTTTTTCGGCCTTTTTCGCTGAGCCCTGAAGGCTCATCTATTCCGTGCGGCCGGCCTGGCGTAGTTTGATTATGTTTTAGTGGGGGTTTTGTATGGGGTATTTTTAGAGCAGGCCTGTTATTTAATTTGATTTTAGACAGAAATTTGTGTATATTTATTGTGGTTTTTATTATCGCCTGTTCACCGCCATGAGTCCCGTAAGGGAGATAGGGCGGTATATAAATTCAATAAATAAATAAATAAATAAACCCTACACTGCAGTTTTCTCAGCAACAATTTTGGAAGTGTTGTGTCCTTGCCTCCTCCTTCTTAGGGCTGGAAGGGTGGGGGGGGGGAAACTGGCCCCAAAGTCATCCAGTAGGCTTTATGGTAGGACTAGAACTCAGGGTCTCCGACCTCTAATCCCTTGCCTTTAACCCCTGCACCAAACTGGTCCTGCCAGCTCCTTCTTCCTAAGACTGAGAGAGGGAGAAAAAGAAGGACTGATCCGAAGTCACCCAGACAGCTTTGCGCCTAAGGCAGAACTAGAACTCCCAACCACCCAACTTCTAACCCCGTTTCCTTCACCACCACCACCACCCTTTTCCCGATTGCACAATTTCTTTCAGCCACCCTGGTGTTTCACATCGGCATCTTCCAGCACCCAAAAGGATCTCCTTAGTATTAAAATACATCACGGATGGACACGGGACCACATGAGGCACTGGGAAAGGACTTTACACAATGATCAACGCAAAGGGTGTGTGTGTGTGTGTGTTTCAACATTTTGAATTCCGGTCGCCCAGCAAACCAAGATGGGATTTGCAAAGCAGCAGACGGGAAAGCGGAGGTGTGGACCACAACATCTTCACCCTTCCAAACGGGAAAGGTTCCAACAGAAAGGATAGCTCAAGTCTCAGTCTTTTTGTGTTATCAACACGCACACAACGTACCGGAAGAAATGTAGAAGGTTTGACCCAAAGATGCCCATACAAGCAAGCGATAAAGAGTACACAAGATTTATGAAGGCGCGGTGGCAATTATACTTACGAAATGCTGGTGATTCCAACAAAAAAACCCAGAAGCAGGAAGAGAGAGACAGAGAGAAACAGGAAGAAGAAATGTTAGTGGCAAATCCCCTTTTCAGTGTTAACAATCCTTTGTTGTGCAGACGGTTCACAGACACATGTAGTCCTCGACTTACGACCCAAATTTCTGTTGCTAAGCGAAGACAGTTGCTAACGAGTTTTGCCCCGTTAAGCGAGTAACCTGATCGTTAAGCGACTCTGGCTTCCGTGTCAGAAGGTCGTAAAAGGGGATCAGGTGACGCCAGGGATGTTGGGCCGAGATGGGCAGCAAACAAATTTAACACACCACCCTAAAGAGGGCAACGCACTTGCCGAGGGTCCCGATTGTGACGACGTCGACTGTGGGGTTGTTGCGACGATCGCAACTTTTGAGTCACTTTTTCAGCGGCCGTGGTACTTTCAAGCCGCCGTTAAACAAACGGGTCGTAAATCGAGGACTATCTGTCCTGTCACACGAAGTTGCATTAAATAAAGAGAAGGGGCAGGGGAGCCACTGGCTGTGGGGTTGGAAAAACGAGCCTGCTCATTTCTTTGCCCCTCCAACGACGGGGAGGAATCCCCGATTCACACGTGCTTCTCCTCCCACGCTCGCCGTCCCCCCCCCCCCGGTTTGATCACCCCAACTTTCTTTGGCTGAACTCACGCTTGCATAGTGGTTGTCGCTGTCTGGAAAGTGAAAAGGTTTTCTTTGGGCAGCCAGGTCCTGATAGGAACCTCATCTGGAATACAGAAGGAGGAAGAAGAGGAAGAAGGAGAAACAGTTGAAGAACATTGCCCAATATAAAGGCCTGCAAGTAGAAGTAGAACGACACGGGGGCGAAAGAAAGCCGAGATAGGACCAATAGTGGTTGACGCTTCCCAGAACCTCTGGTGCACCACTTGAACCTCATCGGCATTGACAAAATCCCCATCGGTCAATTGCAGAAGGCAGCTTGACTTGGAGCAGCTTACATCCTGCGATGAGACCTTAACACCTTCAAACATCTGCCTATGCCAGATTCTTGGGAAGGGCTCGATAGCTGGGCAAAAATGCCCAATCCAGTCTAAACATCTGGCTGACTGTGCAACCAACCATAATAATAATACTTGGACAGCATGGCATTGACAAAATCCCCACCGGTCAATTGTAAAAGGCAGCTTTGCTAGGAGCAGCTTACATCCTGCAACCAGACCTTGAACACCATCAGAATCAACCTCTGCCAGTCTCTGGCCCTTGGGAACAACTCGACAAGTGGACAAAAATGCCCAGTCCTGTCTAAACAACTGGCTGACTGTGTGACAAACCACCATAACAACCACAGCCCCCCCAGGGCTGAGCATTCAAAAGGGGAAGGGAAAGCGATCCACAAGCATAACTTATTACATGGGATAAAAATGATATTAAGCTCTCTGGTCAAGCTCAGCTCTTGCTGATCTCATGGGCAAAGTTTGCTACAGCAGCCACAAAGCCGCAATAACCCCCTCTAGGATTCGGATTATTATTGCAAAAAAGAAACAAACAGGCTGAGCGTTTGATGTTTTGGAGCTATCTTGAATTCCATATTAGAAAAAGGTTTGGAGGGTCTCCCTTGCATATTACGCAGGTAAGGAAACCGCACAAAACGTTTAATTCGTGGGCTTACTGACCTAAAACCACACTAGCAGGGCTTGCAACCTTGACAGCTCAATGTCTCTCAAACTGTATTGATTGACTGATCACGTCTTAGAAACCTACAAGACGTGTGGACTTCAACAACCAGAATCCCCCAGTCACGTGTCTTAAAACTGCCAAGTTTTCACAAATGCTGATCTGGCCTATAATCTATGGAAACGTAGCTATAAATTAGAAGGATTAACATAAAGAATGTCTTGCTTAGCAACATGAATCCCGGGCTCACTTGCGGGCGTAAGTCGAGGACTACCTGTACCCCACCACCCAGCAACAGATGGCCAGGATGAAGTCGACATAACTCGGTTGCACCTACCGGAAACAGGCTCCATGCTATACATGCGTTCCAGCTTCTTCCGCTGCCAGCCGGTCTCACCAGCTTGGGTCTGATGGTGGTGCTGGTGTTGATGGTGCTGGTGTTGATGGTGGTGGTGGTGATGGTGGTGGTGTTCTAGATCAAAGGGATGCTGAGATGACACCGTCAACTGGGCACAGCTGGGATACTCTTTCGAGCCTTGCTGGTGACTTGGCCAACTGGCCTTGCATTGTCGGCTGAGGTTGTGAGAACTCCTGGCGTTGTGGAGAGGCTGACCTAAGGACCGGTCCCCGTCCACCTCTCCTTCTTCTTCCTCTCCTTCTTCTTCTGCTTCTGTCCCTTTGATGACCACCAGCTCCATGCTCTCGCTCTGCTGCTGCGACAGCATGGGCCTCTCGCTGGAGATGGTGTAGACGCGGGGTTTGGGGCCCTCGCCTGCTAGCTTCTCGCTGGCTTCCTCGGGGAAGGCGGGCTGAAACTTCCCGTCAGAAATGAGAGACAACCGCCGCTTGTTCTGAACACCCACGTGGATCTCTGGGGAGTCTTCTGGACCCACATACGACTCGGCCAGCAAGTGATCTGAAAGCAGGAGGAGAAACACAAGATTTGTGGGGGGGGGCTTGCTCCCTATCTGGGCAAGGAGGACCCTGGGTGGCCCCAACCCAGTTTACCAACACTTCAATTTTATTTTATTTTTTTTTAAAAAGTACATTCGTGAGAACTAGAAACTTTAAAGACTCAAAGAAGGGGCCGAAGCGACTGAATACAGGTAGCCCTCGACGTAAGGATCACCGCTGAGCCCAAAATTTACGTTGCTAAGTCGGAAATTTGTTAAGCGGGTTTTGCCCCATTTTACGACCTTTCTCGTCCCAGTCAGTAAGTGAATCACTGCAGTTCTTAAGCTAGCCATACGGTCGTTAAGCGAGTCTGGCTCCCCCCTTGACTTTGCTTCCCCGAAGGTCGCAAAAAGGGGACGCACTGCAACCGTCATAAATGTGAGTCAGTTGCCGCGCATCCGAATTTTGATCACGTGGCCTTGGGGGAGGCTGCAACGGGTGTAAGTGTGAAAAATGGTCCTAAGTCATGAAACAAACGGTGGTAAATTGAGGACTACCTGTATAGAGCCGTATCCTTGAGTAAGCATAGTTCAAGACTGGGCTTATACAATATTATGCCTCTGGATATTTGGCTTCATTCTTGCTTTTATTAGCTAATGAAACTCCATCTGAGAAATCCCGCCGGCATCGGTATTAATTTAAATCATTAGGCTAGAATTTCAGAGCCGTTCTAATGTTTGCTCAATGCTTTAATGTGTTTTTCCCCGATATGATTTGCCTTAGAAAGATACTTGAGGGAGGGGTGCAATTTAAAATTAGGGCGAATTAAAGATTAATCTCCAGAGGCGTATAAAATAAATGCAGTCTGAATCTTGGGAAACCTATCGTACCTGCACCATTCTTGCCTTCGGGATGGTTTTGAGAAAGATAATCTCCAAAAGCCCTCGCCGCTCTTCGCGTAATCCGGTGTGGG